TCTCTCTCTCTCTCTCTCTCTCTCTTCTCTCTCTCTCTCTCTCTCTCTCTCTCTCTCTCTCTCCCTCTCTCCTCTCTCTCTCTCTCCCTCTCTCTCTCTCTCCCTCTCTCTTCTCTCTCCCTCTCTCTCTCTCTCCCTCTCTCTCTCTCTCCTTCTCTCTCCCTCTTCCTCTCCCTCCCTCCCTTTCCAATCTCCTAAACTTCTCCCAACCTCCTGTTTCCCCTTTCTCCCGTACCTATCCAATTTCCTCTCCTTTGCCCCCATTCTCCCACCCCCCTACTTTCTCTCTCATCTCCCATACCCAATCTAACCGCCGGCACCGGTATTCCTCTCCTTCCCCACAGAGTGTACAAAGCAAGGCTGGGAACACGAAGTCTCCACAGCAACCCAGCATATCCATCACGCCCTCCACGAGCCGGTCAGCAGGCCCAGAGCGTGAGCAAGGGAGCCACCCCAACGCGCGACTCCAGCGGGAAACCGTCCTTTGTCATATGCGAGATCTGTGATGGTTATATTAAGGTAGGTTGTTGTCAGGTGGATATTGGTGGAGTTGATGATTGCTAATATAATCATTATATATTTCATTATCTTTATGATGATCATCATTGATGCCATAATTATTGCTGTTATTCAGTGGCATTTAACCCTCTCGCATCTCTCACCTCACTCACCCCATTATCACAGGACCTGGAGCAGTTACGGAACCACATGAACCTGATCCACAAGGTGAAAATCCACCCCAAGATGATTTACAACCGCCCCCCGCTCAACTGCCAGAAGTGCCAGCACCGATTCTTCACTGATCAGGTGGGTAGAGAGAGGAAGTGAGGAGAGGGAAATTGGTTGTAGCTGGGACTGGGGGGTGGAGGGGGTAATATTGTAAGCTCAGGTGGGCCTTAGAATTGTTTATTGACACTATATAATGATATTAGACTGTGGGTTAGGAGAATTGTATAATTCCAAGTGTGTATATTTTTCCTCATTTATGGGATTTGGCTTTCTTTCTGGGGTTTTGAGTCTTCTTCTGTTTATAAGTCTTTGGTTCTTTGATTATGTAAGATTGCAGTTTTTTCATCTTTTTCGATTTTTCTCATATCCATTGTGCTCAACTTATGCTGGTCCCTCAATTTTTCAGGGTTTGGAGCGGCATCTTTTGGGAACCCATGGGCTGGTCACGTCATCCATGCAGGAAGCCGCAAACAAGGGCAAGGATGCAGGCCGATGTCCCATTTGCGGAAAGGTAAGATATCATTATTTTGTTTATCATCATTTATCTTTAGAAATAGTTTGTTGTATGTATATTACAGGGGGTAGGTAGCCTGGGATATTTCTTTTCACTGTACTAATTATAATGTGCAATGCGGTTTCAGCTTCATAGTGTTTTTCACTTAGAGGAATATGATTACTATTATAATATAATATTATGCCATTCACTTGATGTGCCTGTGCTTTTTGCATCAGTTTACTTTGAAGGAAACTTTTGCTTATGATATAACATCAAGTTACTTATTAGTGTGATTTCATCTATTCTAGTATGTAAATATTTGCACTTTTTTCCGTACACGTGTATCATTCGCATATTTTCATGTATGCAAAGTGCCTGTGGTTTTTGCAGCTCACTTGCCTGTACTCATGCATCATGCTGTATTGCTTGCACCTCCTCTCCAGCACAATTAAAACTGCTGTATCATTCACACCAGTATCCCTGTATGTAAAATATCACTTGCAGACACATGACCATCCATCCTCCTCCACAGGTGTTTCCAGTGGAAGCTCCTCAACCACGTGAGCAGAGACCATAAGATGACTCTCAAACCTGCACACCTGTCTTACAAGTGCACAGTGTGTACCGCGACGTTCAACATGTACCGGCTGTTTGAGAATCACGTGTACTCGGCCCACTCAGTCGTCAACAAAAATAAGGGGGAGAGCGGCAAGAAGCAGAGCAGTGGTGAGTATTTTTGGCTGATATAGGGTAGGGATGAGGGTGGGGTGGAGGGTGGGAGGGAGGGAATGAGGGGAAGGAGTGCACTGTTTTTGCATTTGGTGGTATATTTATTTGTTTATTTTTTTATTTTTTATTTATATCTGTTCTTGTCTATAGGTTATTTCTTTATTGATATTGTTATAATTATCATTATTTTCTGCATTATGCATCATTAGCTAGCTAATTCATTTACGTAGTCATTCCATAATTTGCCTCCATTTTATTATTGATTTTAATGTAATTTACAGTTCAAGTGGATATGGGTTGTTTCAGCTGAGACAAGGCAAATAAGATAGTGTTTTAGAAGATTCTGTCTTTGATTATATTACAGCAGGATTAGGGTAGCTTAATCAGTGGGAATGGTTATATTGAGATTCCAGACAAGAAATGTTCATGTGTGTTTTATTATAATTATTATTATTGTTATAATCGTTGTCATGGTGATTCCTATATTTACACGTTAATTCTGTCAACATTAGATGTATTTTCAGTAATTATTTTGTGAACAGATATAGAAAATTTAATAGAAGGGGAAGTATGCCATTATGTTTTAAACTTGAAATTTTAGTTTTAACTCTTGCTGCCTGGAACATGTACTGTTCACTGTAGTAATGTTTTGAAAATTTGTAATTACACGTAGATGGCCCCACGAGTGCTCAGCCACGAAGGAGTCAATTAGTCACCTGATTTCCCCGTTTCTAAGGTGTTTGGGAATTTTTAAACAATTTACCAATACTTTTAATATTGTTGTAGACATTAGGATTACTATCAAGTTAATAACATTACTAATAGGAATATAACATAAAAGAGATTATTTCTTTAAATCAAGGAAAAGGGTAAACGGGTGAGACAGACAGTGCTAGTTGATTGCCTCCCTGATGACAAAGCACTTATGGAGTCATTTATGTGTAACTACAATTAATAAACTAAACTCACAGTGGGTAAGGCATGTACTTCATGCCATCCCCAGTGCCATTGGGTTAAAGATCACTCAGATTGTTGCAACACTGAGTAAGAAAAGGCATAATAAATTGATAGTTATCGTAAAGGCCCACAATGTTGGAAGGTTATATTTGAAAGGGCTAATGCAGGAAAAAAAAGGAAAAGAAGTGAAATAAAGATGAGAAGATTTATATATTGAGTTAGATAGCATGAAGGATCTTGTTTTTCCTTTCAGAGAGGGAGGAGGATGAGAGCAAAAGGGAAGAGGAAGGAAGGAAGAAAGGTAGGAAGAGAGGAGGAGGAAACGGGGAAGGTGGAGGGTGGGGGAGGGGAATAGGGTTAAAAAAAAAAAAAAAAAAAAAAATCTTTCTTTTCCTTTTCTTTACTTTACTTTTTTTCTTTTGCTTTCTTTTTTTTTTGTTATTGCTATTCAGAAAGGGAGGAGGGGTCTTTCCCAGAATTTAGGGAGGGAGAGGAGGGAAGAGAAAAAGTTCATTAGTAAAGGAGGGAGGAAAGGAAGAAAGATGGGCATTTTGTTGATGTTTGTTCATTGGGTTTCATTGATTTCATTTGTTTTTTGGGGGCATTTTGTTAATGCAGTTAAGTATTTTATTAATATTACAGTCTATAAGTTAAGTCATTGCTTTATCTTAGGATACAGGCATCTCCCACTCTAAGAACTAGTTGTATGGTGATTGATTGCATACCTGTGGCTTTATAACAAGGAATATTGTTGCAATAGGTTTCAGAGAACTTATTTACCCAGCCAATGCCAGAGTAGTTTTTGCATATTGAAAACAAATTAGCAGCTCGGTCATAGTATAAATGTCATTAACTCCTCATCATTCATGATAGACATTTACAATGTCCATAGCCTTTTCTTCGCCTTTACCCAAACTACTGGTAGTCTTACTTCCACTCTGCTTAGGTGCCATTATTCCCTAGCCACCAAGTAATTGTAATATGTTAGAGCATTTTCTACATATCCACTTGGGAGCAAGGGTGGTATCCTTTCTGTGCCGGGGGGGAACGACAAAATTGCTTTTATATGTATAGTAGTCTTTTTGGGGCAAGGGGTTGTTGATATGTAATTGTAAGACGGAAAAGTCAGTTGTGGGGTCTCCTATATAGATTTTTGGGAGAGAAAATAGAAGATTGTTTAATCAGTCACTTGTATATTTAGTGGAGGGTGCCTGTATAGTAATATAGAGGAATTGATACTTATAATGATAATATTAAGCATAACATAAAAGTGCTAATAAAGATAATGAAAGAAATGTTATTAGGATAGTCTTCAGTGTATTTAGCATTTAACTTAATTGCTGTTCTGTTTACGTACTACTTATCACTACACTTGAGGTTTGACTAGATTTTTACATTCTCATTATCATTATGAGCACCTTTTGTCACTAACAATTATTATTATAATGCAGTTTCTTGATGCTGTTATTATTATTTATATGATTTTATTTTATTTATTTATTTATTTTTATATATAATTTTTATTCATTTTGCTTTCATTGATTAAAAGCAGCTTTCATCATTACAGTCTTTCACACTAACAAGGACCTTAATATTTACTTCACTATTTTTATTCAATCATTTTAAAATAAGGAAACTTTAATTTGAGTTAACCCATTTGCTGTCTTATTAAGTTACTTATTTTCATAATTTTTTGTATGAGGTCTTGTACCCTTATTTTCTTCAAGAATAAGATTTATTTCCTTCTTTACATATTTAGCATCAGCATTACATATTCATTGTCATTATTAGAGTCGCATTTAGTATGATGACTATTGACAGTAATTTTCTTTGAAGATGCAAATGGGTTAGACTTCACTTTTTCGACAGTCTTCCGTTTGCTCTCTTTATTTACAGTCTTTATTGGTTGCTCCTTCATAATTCCCCCATAAGTGTATGGTCTTTGTCTTTCTAATTTCTTTCTTTTCTTTTTTCCACTCTCCTTCTTTCCTCTTTCCCTCCTACTCTCCTTCTCTCTCTTCTCCTATCTCTCTTTGTTCTCCCCCCCCCTCTCTCTCTCTTCTCTCTCTCTCTCTCTCTCTCTCTCTCTCTCTCTCTCTCTCTCTCTCTCTCTCTCTCTCTCTCTCTCTCTCTCTCTCTCTCTCTCTCTCTCTCTCTCTCTCTCTCTCTCTCTCTCTCTCTCTTCCTCTCTACTCTCTCTCTCACTCTCTCTCTCTCCTCATTCTCTTCTCTTTCCCCCACTCCCTCTCCCTGTATCCATCACACACACACCTCTTCCCTGCTTTCCTAACCTCTCACAGCATGCGTAAGTAGCTCCTAACAGCCAGACTTCTCAGCAGAAGATTAGAAAATAGTTACATTAATAAACAAACCACACATCACCTCAAGAGTTAACCACTTTTCTCCATCACTGTAGGTTCAGGGTCCACTGAGTCTCCGCTAAAAATCAATGACGAGATCACCATTATTCCGCAGCCTGCATCCAAAAACACCAAACCAGACAAGCCAGCGCCTACAAAGAAGGGAGAAAGCACGCAGGTTGTATTAAGGATAAGACATAAGAGAGTGGGAGATAGAGAGAATGGGGAACGATGGAAGGATGGAAAAGGAGGAAATGGGGATGATGAGAGGTCCAACAATTAATGGGGAAGGGAGGGAAATGTATCATCATTGATTAGCATAGAGGAAGATAAAAGAGAGAGAGGGTTGAGGGCAAAAAAGGGAGATAAAGGGGAGGGGAGGAGGGGAGACAAGAAAGCAGGCAAGGATGGAAAGAGTGAAAGCAAAGGAGAGAAATTAGGAAGGGAAGGAAAGACAAAGGTGGGTAATGAGGAAAAGGGAAGAGCGAGGAGAAGAAAAAGAACGGAAATATATGGAAGTGGAGAGATGACCAGATCAGGAAGAGAGAGACAAAGGGCTCTGCTGCATAAATAGTTTTGCAGCCTTGGTTTTAGAGAAAGGGTTTGAAATTGCTCCGACGTTAGTGGAGACGACAACACTTGACCAACTATCCCTTGTTGGCACTTACATGTCTGTGAGTTTTACATCCACCTGTATAGTCACCAGCTACACAGATTTACCCAGCTACTGCATTTTAGCATATTTTCCCTACAATATCCAAATGGCCATAATACTTAATGGTGCATTCACATATTTTCTATCGAGGACCATAATTAATTTTCCTAGTAGATTCTCACATATCTCTTCCATTCAGTGAGCAACCTAAACACCTCGTCCAGTCAACATTCATCAACACTGACCCCAAAGAAAGGAAGACATAGACTTGCTTTTACTCTGTTTGTGTGTAAAGCATTGTATTCCTGAAGGTTTTCATTCCAACAGAGAAACTACTTATGTTTTCCCCTTTGAAATAACAAGAAAGATTCATTTTTACCGTAGTGGGTTATAACTTCTGAATAAAGTTGATTTGGTTACTAAATTAGTTAACTGTTAAGCCAAAGCTGATGTTATTAAATCTATATTTCATGAAAGCCTTAAAGCAAGAACACACAGGAGTAATAAGTCTTATTACTTCACCTTCTCTCATTGAAGAGCTGAACAAGCTTTTCTATCTCTTTTGTTTTTGGAAGAAACCAGTGAACTGCAAGCTTATCCTCACCTGTTCATTCTTCTTGCAGCAGCCAACAGTAAGTAAGGAGATCACAATCACCAAAGTGGGCTCCCGACCCACGCGGCGCAGCGGAGGCAGCAGCGTGGAGGTGATCAGCCTAGACGAGTCGCCCACTAAGAATGATGCGGCAAAGAAGCGTCCCACCAAGGACAACCTTTCCAGCAACCCCAAGAGGGCACGAACCAGTAGCTAATTAATGGCGGTGATGTTGGTGAAGTGCGTAGAGGGGCCAGTCAGTCCCTTTCTTGAGAAAGTGCGAAATGCAAGTGAGGAAAGGAAAAGAAATGAAGAGGTAGAGAGAGAGAGAGATTTATATATACATATATACATATACATATACAAGTGGTGATGAGTGATGGAAAGAAAGTACTCAGAGTTAGTTTTTTTTTTTTTTTTTTTTTTT